CTGATATGGCTGTCAGGCAAAAATGGGTCCCAAAATGGAACCCTGGCAAATGGAAACATGCATGCGGTTCCCTATGGGAAACATCCAAATAGAGGGGCTGCTACAATACAGGGGACACCAAAAGCAAAGCCAGCTTCCGCGGGGTCCCCGAATTTGAGGCTCCACGTCAGATTCCAGCTGGTTTCCTCGGGTCCGGAGTTGACACATCCCCTCCCCAAATGAGCAACTCGCTGAGAATAGTTGGCAATGACTTGTAATATATGTCAGTGCTAGTCTTGGGAGGGCATTTGCGTTTTGTTCTCTTTTTTCTTCGGGGCCCGCCCAATTGTCCAATGTCCTGTTGGGGAAACAAACTGTTTTGTCGGGACGCAAATGAACCAGCGTGTCCTGCCCGAGCGCCTAGAGGCCTTGCAAACAGCCGTGAGCACTGACGATGCGGAAATGGCCGCGAGGGTGGCCGACGAGGCGAGGTGCTCAGTCGAGGGGGAAAAGTGGAATCTCAGGACGGGGGCAAACTTGGAGGAAGCAAGTAAACTTCAGGTCCCTGAAAAACAAGTACACTGGTTGGTTTTGGAGGCCCTCGATTATCTCGTGATTAGACGGCGGTCTCCAGGTGTTGCATTGATCATTCGGCTTCAATTGCTGCTGCATCAGAGCAGTAGCCTCCCATGTGAGGAAAATTTAGAATGAGGGCTTTTGCTAGGCGGATTGTTTCCCTTTGCCGCTCTGCCCTTGTTCGGCTTTGCTGCCTTGTATTTATAGCTTCTCCATTTTTCTGTTTTGTTTGGTATCTTGGCGTTTGCCTTCCTGAGAGAGATTTCCACCGGACATGCGTTATCCAAGCAATGCTTATCCGGTTCATGTGCTGTGTGACACCATGTTCCTGCAACCAATGAAGCATCCCAGGACAAATTGTTCGGTCCATCCGACTCGAACTCATCCCAAGCCAAATCTTAGACCCAGCCACCAAACCCAGTTCAACCAACCCGAAACACAGCCACCGATGCGCCAAAGGACCCCACCCTGAAACAGCCCGAATTACCCACCCCAGCTTGAAAGCGACACCATGCCTGCCCATAAACTGAACCGTGAGCCCACCTATTTCCAACAAACGAGTCTCAAACAGCGCCCACCCAGAACTCACCAAGAAATAGAGAATATCACAGAGACTGTGCCGCTCCTTGTTACCCGAAAGCAACAGCCACCGGTCCAGAACGCCAAACGAGACTGGGAAAAGCCCCACCAACTCGATGGAGTTTCGCAGGTTAAAAAGAAGGGCCTGGACCTCCAGCCCAAGAGCCGCCCGCCTGCACGGGATTGGGTTTGTGGTTTGTGAGGGAACGCTTTTCAGGTCGGCTTCAAGGGTAAGCCTGTCTTTTCTTTTCTTTTCTTTTTTTGGATTGGGGGGGTGGGGTCCACTATTTTGACATCGCATGCTCCTTCTGCTTCTTCCTTGGGTAGCGTGGATTCCGCGCCGACCTGAGGCTGGCTGCCAGAGATGGGCATGGACGCTTTGGCGGCGGGGCTTGCGGAACTTAGGGCAAGGCAAGCGCCCAAAGAGACGGCGCCAGAAGCTGTGGAGCCCAAAGAGGTGCCCAAATCCAAGGAAGAGCCCAAAGAAAGTGCAGCTCCGCCCGGCGCCAAGTTGAAGGGTCAGTGATGCCTAGTGGCTCTTGATGTGCGAGTGTGGGAGAGCGAGAGAGACAGAGAGCGAGCGAGACAGACCAAAAGATTGTCCGAAGGTGTCCTGCACCAAGCTCTTGGTTCAGACACTTGGCCAAGGTCTGCTCCAAAGCACAACTCGCGGCGGCGACCAACCTTCACTGGACCGTGGGCCAAGAGCCAGCCAAGCAGTTGATCAAGAGAAGTAGGAAGTAAAGTTTTGCAGAGGTTGCCACGTGCCGTGTTTCATGCCACGTCAAGCGAACTGGCTTCTTGGGATCAGTACTAATGCTGTCAAAGCGTTGGCCATTTTGGTTTGTCCCTCAAAAACCACCGAAAAGGGATACTCTCAAAAAGCGACACACCCATATGGGTCAGTCGATCTACGCCAGGATTCAGCGATGCCGCACAACTGCAGCTGTTGGTGTGTGGCTCAGATTGAATGCTAACTTGAGGAGCCCTGCAGCTGGTTTTCAACAGCTTTTCCTTGATGCCTCTCATAAGAACTAAGGTAGCTCACCTCGTCGTTTCTCAAATGTATCAAGATGTTGGGAAACAAGGGAAAAGGACACCTAGAGGAATCTGGAGGATTCAATCGGCGCCCGTCCCCACCAGGCAGGCCTGCAGCGCGCGGCCGCAGAGTTGGACTCGGTGTGTTTGGAGCAGCTCCTGCAGCAGGCGAGGGGCCACGGCGAAGCAAAGATCCGAGCAGCAAATCCGGGAGACAAACCCCAGTGTGTACCTGTGCTTTCTTACATGTGTCAGCAATTAGTGGCATCTCGGGATCTGTCCCTTTCAAACCTCTTTGGGGACATATTTTTGTTTTTTATGTTTGCCAGCAAGTGTTACGTCCATGCAAGACAAGTTGCATGTACTATTTTGGCTCAAGTCACACAGAGTGCTTTTGCTGCTCACCTCAGGGTTTATCTCTAACCCCCCTGGTTCTTTTGGCTATCAACAAAAGCTGGACTTTCTGGTACGCTAGGGAGCCGGCCGACGCGCCGGCGGTGCATGGACAGGCGACCCCGCAGTGGCAAATCCGCTTGTCGAAAGCGGACGAGGGAGGCCTGGTTGCTCTTTGTGGCTCGCGCGGTCAGCGTCGGAGTTCCTGCATATCTGAGCGACACTGAGGAGGAGGGTCAGGAGGAGGAGGAGGAATCCTCTTCGGCGCTTGCCTCTTCATCACTGACAAAGACCTGTTTGTCGATGATTCTGATATTGGGGGCGATTTGAGAAGCTTGAAACCCTTGCCCTTGCGCGGGGGCTCTTGAGAGCAGTCGCGCCTTGATGATCGTAAATAGCCATCAACAAGACTCCCTGTACTGCGCTTGAACTCCAGGCGGCGCGTCACAGTCAATGAGCTGTGATCTTTGACTTGTTTAAGACTTTAAACACACTGCAAGATCAGTCAGAGTGTTTGAGCGTCATCGTGGTCAAGCAGGCTCTGTGGGTCGACGAACACTTGATCGCTATTAAGTGAGAGTGTTGAATTGACGCCCGTAACGCAGACCAACCAATTTGCGCAAGTTCCGAAACATCAGCGCAGGGCTGCAAACGCCGGAGAACAGGGCGCTCTATGACGCAAGGAACTCTACGACGCAAGCAGTCAGGCGCAGCCGGTGCTCAACTACACGAGCAACCAACTGCAACTCAATCAAGTGAACGCTGGTGCATCCATTGCGCAAGTTGCGCAACACAAATCAAACTCCTTGCGCGTTGCAAGCAGGAGCAGGCAGGCCGGAGAGAATTTCGCCAATAGAAAGCACACGCACGCAAAACGGGGTCCTTCATGAATAAATAAACTGAGGACGGGAGCGAACCCCGCGAAAGGGACGAATCACAAGGTCGTAGAAAATAGGGCCAACCCGGGAATGAAGCCCAAACTAGGGTCGGGCGTGTAGTAACCGCACGGGGCACATGATGGGCAGGGAAGCGCAGCCCCCAAAGACACGGCGACGCCAGGTAAGTAGTCAGCAAAGACTGGAGCGACATCAAGGTCGCTCTGCGCATGAGTCACCAAAGCGCGAGAAGGAGGAGGAGGATCCTCAATGGCCAGGGCACGAGGACAGCATCGGCAGCGCCAGCTGTATGCGTCGAGAAGCTGGGCCCCGAAGGGCGGCCGCCGCTGCCGAACAAGCCGCCCCGCACCCGCGAAGGAAGCAGGACACGCCCTGCGCGTCCCAAAAATCCAAAACTGAGTAGCCAACAAAAGAACCAAAAAAATGGAGCGGCGACACGAAAAGAAAGAACAACTTTTTCGTCGCAGCCATTGTCCGTGAAGACGGTCCGCCATGCGCCATTCACACGCAGACAGCCAAAAACCACAGCCCCCAGCGGCGGCAAAGCAAGCTTGCTGACAAACACAAAGCGAGGCCCAAATGCTCAGTATTATTGCCACGGTGCAAAAACGCAGTGTGTCGCCGAACTGCTTGATCATCAATACGGCACAAGCGACCTGCCAGGGGATAACAAGAGTGAACACTGCAGCACGCCAGGAAGGAAAGTGCAAATCAAGAAACCATGTCAGAAGTTGAGATGTCGCCCGTGTGTAAATAGGCATGAGGACGGGAGCAAAACCCGCAATACCCGTAGAGGCCGAAGCGTAAGTCGTAGTCACAAACACCTCTCGCCATTGAAAAGGAGTGCGCAGATGTTTCCCGTAGCACAAGGAAACATAAGCCCAAGGCATTGGCTCATCGATGTTCATGCGCACGTAAACTGTAGGAGGGAAAAGGGAGCGAACCCCGCACCCTGGCGGGGAATGCAGATCTGCGCACAGACGCGCGAAGTTCAATGCTTAAGCTGGTGGCCCAAATAAGCAATCCGCGCACTTGCTCGAGGGTTTGGCTTTGGAGTGCGCGAAGCTGATCGCGTAACTTGTGCACTTTGAAAGGCTGTTCTTATTTGTTGGAAATGGGTAAGGGTGTCAAGTTAGATCAAGGAAGAATTTATTGAGATTCGGGGCTGTGATCTTGGGAGTCGAATTTGCTTGTGTTTTCTTACATCTGCAGAAATAAGCGGCATCTAAAGAGCATGTCCCTTCCAAACGCCTTTGGGGACATACCGTTTTAGGTTTGCAAGTGTTATGTTCATGCAAACCAAGCTGCGTGTATTATTTTGGCTCGAGGCCAAAGAGCGTTTTTGTTGCGTGCTACAGGGCTTATCTCTCTAAGCCCCTAATTGTAAACGCTTCGCGTTGCCCGCCCCGGTCAGTATGTTTTTGGCTGGCTTTGGGGTACTGTGTTTTGGCTTGGGGTTTGGGAAGCTCTCGAAGGGGTCTGATTCCCGGCCCTGGGGTCGAGGCGAATTCTTTATCCTCCCATGACTGCAGGCAGGGGCAAAGTTGGGTGCTTCCCGTTTGGAATTCATTCTAAATTTTCTTTTGTGTCTTGATTTGGGGCTAATCCCGCTTGGCCTCTGGGCTGACCGAAAGAGCGAGGCCATGCGCAACGGCGTGGAGGATTCCGAGCTACAGGACTGAAGGGGTGGTTGGAAGAGCGGCCTAAGCCAAGGACAAAGAACGTTAGACTTGTTTTCTTAGTGCCCCTGAATCCCTCGCAACCTCTTTGACCTGGTTTTGAGGGACATGTTCCAAAGAGTTCGCGCCGTGGTCCACCTTTGAGTTTGTTTTGTTTTTTTCTCGCATCCGTTGGCTTTGTGTCTATGCACCGGGGATGTCGGTTGGAGATTGAGGCAGGCGTAAAGATCCAGGTTGTTTCACTATCCCTTGCTTGCAGGACTACCACAAGCTGCTTCGGGACCTGCAGAGCGAGACCTTCCTGAGACTCGCAGTGGAGAAGGTCTTGGAAGACGTCCAGGCACGGCCCAAATGGGCGGGTTCGGGCTCATCGAACGGTGACGCTCCTTCGAGTTTCCTTACCTGTCACTGTCGCGCCCGGGCTTAGGTTCGGACCAAAGGCGAGGCCGCTTCAAAAAACTGGGCATTTTGGCTGGCATGGCATTCAACCCAGTCGGCATCGGGCCTTGCCGGGGAGCCTGGAGGATGCCTGACCTGCTGTCCTGCTGGACGAAGCACAGCTCGGCACAAGGAGTGCCGGCGGCCCTGCGCTCTCACGACTGAGGCGTCCAGCAGCAGCCAGACAGGGATGCACTCGGAACTGCAAGAACCGATTGCCCAGAGGAAGCAATTCTTCGCATCTGCTTTGACAGTGGACTGGATGCCCAGCAGGCGATTTTCCGCATGGAAACAGTGCTTGCACCCTTGAGGAAGCTAACAGCCAGTGCATCGAGCAACGCACGCGTGCAAGTGTTGCATGGGACGGACGGAGGAGTTTGCACTCTCGGCCACCCACTTGCAGCTGTTGGACTTGGAGAGGTTGCACCTGCGCTTCCACCTAGCGGTATTTTTTCGAGGGAGATCCGCCCACCGCCGCTGTCATGGAGGGAACAATGCTCTTACCATTTGCTGCCCAGCAGCTCGTCATTCACAAACCCTTCCGGATGTGATATCCAACCGACTTGCAGATCTGTAAGACGGAGCCGCGGTATGTTCCTTTTCCGCTAACCCAGTGCATCTCCGGAACTGACCATCTGTCCAACTGAGCGTGTTTTCTCTTTAGTTCATCTCCCTCCCCCCCTCCCTCTCCTTCACCCTCCTTCTCCCTCCCCTTCATTCCTTCGTTCCTTCCTTCCTTCCTTCCTTCCCTCCCTCCCTCCCTCCCTCCCTCCCAGCGAATTGTCCGGCTTGTTCGGAGTCGCACCACTGTCCCTGTGGGGTTGTGACTCGCGTCGCGTGGGCATAACTACTTGCAGCTCGTTGGTGGGCATTGCATGTATGTGTGTATATACATACATATCTATATATATATATATATATATGTATGTGAGTTCCTCGAGAATGACATCATGATGTCTGAAGAGAAGTGTTACACTGGAAAACTGTCAGGGTGTAAAGGACTGCATCACGTGTACTGAATCACAAACAGAGTTAGTCGATGATGAATGCGATGCCTGCCTTCAAACTGTACCGCAGTAACGCTGCATTTTGTTCAGAGAAATTGTCTTGCCCTGTACGGACAGATAGTGAAACAAACAACAAAATCAATAGCATCGTGTTGGTTTGTGCTGGCGCTTGCCATAGCTTTGAGCATGATAGATTGGGAATTGGTATAGCTCTCGGATTAGTAGGCTTTGAGCTTGCAGTGGAAGCACATCTCGCGCAGGACGATTGCCCGCAGCGCGCCGCCTTGCACTTTAGCTGCAAGGTCTGATTGGCAACCGAAAGGCCACGCTGCCCGTTGAAAACGGGCATTTCCGAGAAGTGATGCACTTTCTCCCTTGTTGGGTCTGGAAGGGGAAAGGGAAACCAACCCCCGCTAGAGATGTCCTTGGTAGGCCGGGGCCCTTTTTGGACGGCAGCATGCGGTGACATGCGCAGCGGATCTGAGGCAGAGGCTGCAGAATCTCTCCCACCAGCTGCGCACCCTTCATGGAGATGCGGAGCTGATTCGGGCGGCGACGCGGGGTGTGCAGACACTTGAATGGCACAAAGAGGACGGGAAGGAGGGAAGGGAAGAAATAGGGAAGGGAGGGAAGCAGAACAGGTTTATTTAGAGTTCAAGGGCTGCGTGCCAGTCCCACACAAGCTGTGCTGACTGTCCGGCAGGCATGGCGACATGACCACAGTGGTAAACGCATGAACTCTGAATTGACATCCCTGTTTGGACTCCTGTGGAAATGCTGAGTCCGGTAGAAATCCATGCACATTGCATAGCGCACATTCATCAAGCTGAGAAGGAACGTAAATAATGTCATCCAGGAACGCAATGTTTGTATCTTCCGATGTTGAAGAACTTCCCAGATCTTGGCACTTGATTCACTCTTGCAATTGACAACACAGAGCAATCCCGGAATAGTGCCAGTGCGAACCTTTGGATCCAAGATCTGATGTTTTGGCAAGGGGGTTCCCCTCGTTTTACACATGCCCCAAAAGAGATTTGCTGGCCATCTGGACAAACTAAAAAGGCTCCTCTTGCAAAGGGGCGTTCAATACGAGGGGAAAGAAGGGAAAGGATGGCTTGGGATCGCTTACGAGCGCTCGACTAGACGCCGCTCCGCCCCAAGGCTGGGAACACGGCGGCGGACCAAGAGCATTGCAGTGCCCAGCGGGGCTCGACGCTCCGTTCTAGATGCCTGGGGCTCGGAAAGACCGAGGTTGCGTCGGTTCCGTGCTTGTGTTTTTTGAGGCTTGGCAACCTGTTCAGAACTTTTCAGGTTGGCTTGAAGGGACACCAAATGGAAACCAACCATTTGAGGGCGGGGCCTTTATTTGACACATACCCAGGTAGCGCGCGAAGGCGAAGGCTTGCTTGAGTGCCGGGAACATAGGAAGTAAACCATGACTAACGCGCGGTCGCTTGGATGTCATCTCTTGTCAAAGAGCAAAGGAGATCTTATCGTTTGTTCCTTTGCTTCCAAAAGCAACAGGTAGAGCACGGCTCGGGTTTTGAGCGTTTACATGTTCAGTGCCCGTGAGGTTCAATGCACCGCAAAACCGGCCCTCAACCGAGAGACTCGCTCACGACCAACCATAGCGATTCTACCCGCGTCCGATCCCACAGAAACGAGCGGTGTACAGGTGGTGGGTGGTTCAGATTAATGGAACTTCAATCTGTGAGAGGGGTTCCAGCCGCGCAAAGAAAATCAGAAAGAGTGGAACTAGTTGTCAGAAACAACAACAAACAACAAGTGACAAGCGTAATGGCTCTAAACGGGTTCCGATCGCTTGTACTAAGGTGTGTTTGTTTCTTTGGGGCACCCACCAAAATGGTGGTTTTCCTTTTAGTGTTCCTTTTAATATTCCTTTAAAGCCCAAAGCCCAACAGGCACATGCAAAAAACGGCAGACCCATTTGGAGCCCGTTTGGAACCCATGGGTTACGGCAGGTCACCAACCCCGAAGATCTCCGCGTGGCCTGCGACGCTTTCTGCGACCTCAGCGCCTTCCACAAGCTGAAGAGCGAAGGCACATGACCCAAATGCTGCGGAAAATATGTCAAACAATAAGAACAAAATCTGAAACGTGGCGAATCTTTTGGAACATATTTCTAGACATGTTCTTGTTTTTTTCCCCCCATCGATCCAAGCATTGATGTGGAAGAATGAGCCTTGCTTTGGTGCCTGTCTCCAGGCAGCTGGAAGGGCCATCGCAACAGCCAGCTGCACTTCGACTTCACCCAATGCAAGGGAGTTATGCTGGCCCACTCCAAGGCTGGGAATGGCCGACAGGGAGGCCGAAGCCGAAGACGCCAGGTGACGATTGCCGAGGCCCTCACTCACTTGCCGAAATCCAGGGAGGTGCGCCGGGGAGTGCAGCACTTGTGAGCCACGAAGTTCCCACATGCGAAGACGTGCTGGCAATCTTGAATATAATTTCAGGCGCTACTGTACTTAACACGTTGGGGCGGGCCCCGTGTTCCCATTGAAGAAAGCATGTCCCATTCGCAGTGGCTGCAGGCCACCTTTGTCCCGCCAGGCGACTGCTGTGCAGAATTTCAGGAACATCCTGATCTGGATGGGTGATCGACCCGCCCAGGAGTGCCAACGAATCGCCAGCACCGGACTTGGAGTCGGTAGACCTTCGTGCTTGAGTATGATTGTTTGTGGCTCAACAGAGTGGCTGTCTGAGGCCGGGAGCGAGTGATTGCGGCGGCTCGTCTTCAGGGTGCACAAGATGGATTTTTGGGTGAGAATGAACCTTTCGGATTCGCGCCGTTGTCAAGAGCATCCAGGTTCATGCTCGCAAAGGACCCATGGTTAGCTTTTCCCCAACAGCTAAAAGCTTTGCCTAGATGGGCTCCTCCTGAGTGATTTGGAGCGGCTCCGGCTAGGGTTCTGCAAGGTTCAGGGGTTGCTGTTGGGACTCAAAGAGAAAACCAAGGAAAAACCACCCATTTTGGGGCTTCCATATTCAGAAACAGGCTCCGGTCGAAACTTGTTCAGCCTCGCGTTGGAGTCCTAGTTCTGCTTCCCCAACATGACTGCGGCTTTTTAGGCGGAACCGCCTCGAAAATGGTTGACACAATTCCCCGCGTCAAACCACGCCCAACGTGCGGAACCTTTTTACGCCTTCAGGTGAGTGCCGAGCCGCTACTGCGAGACGAGGTCTTTGTCCAGCTCCTGAAGCGCCTCGAAACTGAATTGAGACCCAGCAGACCCGCAAGTTTAGTCTTGTCCATTCACAACGGTTCCGTTTTTGGCCCCTATTTTCGAGCCCTACCCGAGCAGAGGGTCCTTTTAAAGAGGAAATGCGTTGTGCAAGGACCTCGTGTTCCATAGTGATTGGGAGGGATGTACAGATGGGGGAGTTTGCAAACAGTGAGAAACGCGACAACCTACGTATTTCGCCAGTCTGCACTTCTTGAGTGCAGTTCACACACATGTTCTTGTCCTTCGCAAGCGATCGCAACCTGATGGGAACCCGTTTACAGCCGGGATGAAAGTGATGGCATCAATTAGAGTTGACCGGAATTCGGCCGTCGACGTGCACCCGATGTCCCCGAAGCTCTCAGCGCTTGGGCCTGCGAGCTTGCGAGCTCGCCCCGTAGGCAGCTGACTGGGAACCCTTCGGTGCGCTCAGAGTGGCTGGGCTGGCAGCTGCTCCTCCAGCCGCCTGGCAGAGCTGAAGCCGAAACCGGGGGGGGGGTGGAACTTGGGCGAGTGCTTTGGATAAGGGCGATGTCGGGAAACGTGTAAAGTCCGATTTCGTGTTTCACGGGCAAAATCGGCCAGTCAAATGAATGCAACCCCAAGGTTTGGCCCCGGCAGGAACAATTTTGGCACACCTTGGAGACTTCATGCTTTTTGTTCATCTAAGCCGACTGGCAAGATGCAAAAAACGGATCGGCCAAAAGCGGAGGGCAAAGCGCAGGTCTGAAGAGTTTCTTTCCTAACTGCAAAGAGTCAGTGGCAGATGCAGGCTGTCTAGATGCTGGAATGACCAGGGACAAGCTGGAAACAATCGGCTGGCATCTCATGGCAGTCAAAGATGGTCAGATTATTTGCAAGCTGATAGAGAGTGTCCCTGATCTCTTTGGCAACAAGCACTGTTTATTCATTGGATGTGCGCAACTAGCCAAAGGATTTCACGGCAGACGTCGCCCGAGGCTTTGCAGAACTGCCTCACCCAGCGACGAGCAGCTCAGATAGCATTAGCTTGGCAAAGCATCGGAGGGGCTTGCTATCCTCAGGCTGGACGATTTCGTGAGAATGTTTTGCGACCAGGCGGGATACCATTTGTTCTCTCTGACTCTCGAACATACTTCTAGTGGCTAAAAGTTCAACTTCCACGATAAATCTCCGCTAGGGAAGAGTCCCTACGTGGCCAAGACCCGGGGTGTTCTGGTTGTTGGGGGCATGGTCGTTGAAAGGAAGCAACAGAAAAATTGGGCCTCCCCTTCTTATTTTCGTTGGTGGACATACGTCCCCGCGCAAAATTATCTCCATCAAAGGATCCCCGAGTAAACCCGATATCAGTTACAGCTCGTAGATAGCACCGTGGCACCGCGCGAGGCGCGGTCTGTGCACACTGGATGCGGAGACGATCCCAGAGCCTGGGAGATTGCGCGGATCGCTGGGGACTGCTTGGAGGCGCCGGCAAGACGACACAGAGAGCCCAGGGTTGAAACGCTTAAGCAGTTCTTTACTCTTAGGTGGGTGATAAGGGTGTTTTTGTTTGCGTGCGTGTGTTGGTGCGTTGGTGCGTTGGTGTGTTGGTCTGTTGGTGTGTTTGCGTGCTTGTGTGTTTGCGTGTTTGTGTGTGTGTGTGTTGGTGTGCTTGTGTGCTTGTGTGCTTGTGTGTTGGTGTGTTGGTGTGTTGGTGTGTTTGCGTGCGTTGGTGTGTTGGTGTGTTGGTGTGTTTGCGTGTGCTTGTGTGTTGGTGTGTTGGTGTGTTGGTGTGTTGGTGTGCTTGTGTGCTTGCGTGCTTGCGTGCTTGTGTGCTTGTGTGCTTGTGCGCTTGTGTGTGTGTGTGTGTGTGTGTGTGTGTGTGTGTGTGTGTGTGTGTGTGTGTGTGTGTGTGTGTGTGTGTGTGTGTGTGTGTGTGTGTGTGTGTGTGTGTGTGTGTGTGTGTGTGTGTGTGTGTGTGTGTGTGTGTGTGTGTGTGTGTGTGTGTGTGTGTGTGTGTGTGTGTGTGTGTGTGTGTGTGTGTGTGTGTGTGTGTGTGTGTGTGTGTGTGTGTGTGTGTGTGTGTGTGTGTGTGTGTGTGTGTGTGTGTGTGTGTGTGTGTGTGTGTGTGTGTGTGTGTGTGTGTGTGTGTGTGTGTGTGTGTGTGTGTGTGTGTGTGTGTGTGTGTGTGTGTGTGTGTGTGTGTGTGTGTGTGTGTGTGTGTGTGTGTGTGTGTGTGTGTGTGTGTGTGTGTGTGTGTGTGTGTGTGTGTGTGTGTGTGTGTGTGTGTGTGTGTGTGTGTGTGTGTGTGTGTGTGTGTGTGTGTGTGTGTGTGTGTGTGTGTGTGTGTGTGTGTGTGTGTGTGTGTGTGTGTGTGTGTGTGTGTGTGTGTGTGCGTGTGTGTGTGTGTGTGTGTGTGTGTGTGTGTGTTTGTGTGTTTGTGTGTTTGTTGGTTGGTTAGTTAGTCAGTTAATTTGTTTGTTTGTTGTTTGTTGGTGTGGGTGTTTGAGGGTGCCCTTGTCAGGATTGGTTTAAAGGGAAGCCAAATGGAAAACCACCATTGCTGGCGTAAGCCTGGGGTCGACTGTGGAGGCGTTGGCTGCTGCAATGCCCTGCAAACCGGCCACGGAAGACACGTCCGGCGATATGGCGGGCGTGTTGGTGTACTTGATTGATAGATCTTACCAGCTGCTTGGACTGCAAATAGTTGAAGGTTGAGGCAGAAGAGCATCTCCAGGAAGTTAGGGTGTTCCTGGGCACAATGCGCAGTTTCCCAAAGTATCTGGTGCTAGCCTTGGTAATTATGCACACAGCAGGTGCAGCACTGTTCCTCTATCAAGCAGGGCATGTAAGAATGTTTCGTACTATGGTTGGTAGATGAATTCTGTAGCTCACCAGCTACTGGTCAACCCAATCAAGTGCAAGTGCTGGCCAAACTTCATTTGTGGTGAGCGTAACATGTTGGCTAGTCTGGCAGCCGAGGAATTTGTTCGTCCCTGTGGCTTCGACTCTCAAAGAACTGTCTTCCCTCATGGGGAGCAGAGTCGGTGTGAAGCACTGGAGGGACTTTGCATTCTTTCAGTCCACAGGTGACGCGTTGAGGCCGGAGCAGACAGCATCTGGTTGAGCGACAGACACCGTGAGACTCGTGGAAAGATTGCTCATGATCTTTGCTGACCATTGAGCAAGGTTCGATACATTGACTCCGGGGGAAAACAACAGATGAGAGTTGGATGCTGGGTTCACCTTGGGTCACATCCAGGGCTGGTTTTGTCTACCAACTTTCTTGGAAGCCCTTTCTTTTTCCAGCTTGGGACAGAATGGGTCCGTCCATATGGCAGATCCGTAGGTCCCGTCACGCAGGATGCTGCCTGACAATTTGACGGTCTCCGAGCTGATCAAAATGTGGCAGCAGATCCGTGAGGCCACGGGCTTGCAAGGCCTCAGCCTCAGAGTGCTGCGAGGCTTGAGCTTTGACACGTCTCGGTTGACACACTCGTGTTGCATCTGTCGAGCTGAGCCCTCCGTAGTCTTGAATCAGACCACATCGCACGTGTGAAGCCTCTCACCTCGCGTGTGCGTGCTTCAACTCTGTGAGGTCACTTGCACTGGCGACGGCGCTTCTTGCGACCGCAGGAGGGAGTCGCGAGTCATGTCCCGCTGCCCGCCGAAAGGGTCCAAAGCCAACTCGCCGCGAAAGCGTGGATGTCAGGAGATGCTGCTGGCTGGGGACCTGCAACACGCGGCATTGACGTTCCGTCAGGCAAGGTGAGATTTCGAAAAACCATGGGCTGGTGAGATCGTGTGTGATTTGGAGGGCACCCGTTTGATTGGTCTTACAGGAAAACCAAAAGGAAACCAACCATTTTGTGGGCTCGCCTACAAATCACACCCATCCCAGGCTGTGGATTGCCACCTTCGACGTCCGGCGTCCTGTGACTTGGCATCACTTCGAGTCTCAGGTTGCTTCGACGCACTCTGGAATTATTTTGACATAGGGGAGCAGGGGCCCTTTTTTTAAGCTACCCCAAGGTAGACTTAAACCTGAGGGGGGGGGTTTCCCCAAAATAGAAACTGCTAGGTTTAAGTCCACCTTGGTAGTCCGGAAAGGAGTATCTCACAGTGGTGGACCCTGTTTTGGTTGGTATCTAAACAGGAGCCACAACGACACCAACCTTTTGGGTGATCCCTATCTTGAGACCCCCCCCCATAGAATTCTGAGATGGTATGCAGATGGCTGACATCGGAGCCTGCAGTAGATTTGTTGGCACACAAAGGCACAGTTCTTGGGTTCATGTGCGAAATCTGCATGAACCGAAGTGATTGGCTGCACGTATTCCAAAGGTCCCGTGACTTTGAGGTCAAGCAGGGGCGGAGGCCGAGGAAATGGCGACCGCCGCGGCACTGCTGTGGTTGGAAAGCCGGGAGCCGAATGGGGGAGACATCAGTGCAACCATGAAATGTAGTCGACACCTTGCCTTAAGCCTAGAGACCAGACATGGTTAGACGGGTTCAGACTCGACGTCGGTTCCTCGTGCTCCAAACAGAAAGCCACCAGACCAGGCCAAGACCCTTTAAATCAGACGGTTTGAGAGGGAATCCTGTCGGAACAGCGTTGGCTGTTGTGCGCAGGCTACAACCCATCAAAGAACATCAAAGATAATGACAAGCTGGTTTGTCAGCTCCTCAAGGCGAGGCAGTGGAGTCAGAGGAGTCGGGTTGCGACTGAAGCTTGCTGCATTTCTTTCTGCAGGGGCAGATGAACGACTTGAAGCCTGCGCAGCAAGACGAGGTGAGGCGGAAGCTTCAGAGCAAGGCTGGGGTTTGCCCATGTCAGGCGCAAGGTCTGTGTGAAGCTGAAAACGGAAATCTGGACGGAGGAAACGGGAGCTAGTGGCAAGTCGGTCCCACAAGAATGCCCTCCGCCAGCAAGAGGAGGTGCCACGAAGTTCTTTGCAGGAACCAAACTCAAGTTGGAGGTCAACCACACATTACTTGACATGAGCTGCAGGGCTTTCATAGCATCTAATGCAAGCCGCATCCACGACCCCCCAGCTGGCCTTAGCCAGTGCAAATTCCGTACCTTGGCTTTTAGGAACCTTTCAGAACCACTGGTTTGGCCAAACCCCACATGCTTCTGGAATCAACATCCTTCACATTCAATTAAGTTGTTTCCTTTCAAAGAAAAGCGGCACAGAACTCCCTGGTTCCACATTGTATCCTCCATGGAACCCGCCATACGGTCCCCTTTGAGGGAAGCTAGTCTTGGATGGGTAAGTAGCCCCTCAGGTTCCATGTCGTGAGCAGGTCCGGGACATGCGCCCGGAGTTCGGCCCGCGGATCCCGCAGCTCCAGCGGATGACCCGGGCCTTTGCGCTGATGCGGCTCGGTCCACCGGTCTATGGCCATTGAGAGGGAGAAGGCCCTGCGAAATTAACGGACGGAACCCAAATTCGGGGGTCCCCAGGGTTTCTTTGTAAATCGTGGTTTTGGGGCTCCGCGTTCAGCCGGAAGGCAACAATCGTGGTTTTCCCCTGGTTTACGCCAACCAGGGTGGCCTCAAAATAATGCCGTCACTTGGCCAATATCCGGTTGGACAACCCCATAGTCTAATGCTCGAACCACTAGCTTTCTTGGGCTTCTCAGGGGAATGGCTTCCCTTCAACCATTTCTGTTGTGAAGTTGTCCTAACTTCGACAGATGCCCGTTTGAGTGCAGCTTGGAGATCGCATTCCGCTTGAGGCGATGCTTCCCTCATTTTGGCGCGCACCAGTGGTCAGCCAAAGTCATTGCGCCAGCCAAAGTCCTTGCCTCAGATGGAACTGAGAAATTGAGCAAGGCAGAGCCCGGTTGATTTCAGGTTCATGCTGGGCCGATGCTGGTCAACAACCCGCCAGAAAGGCCATTTGCAGTGAGAAGAAAGCGGAAAGCGGAAGGCCAGGCAAGCTCGAAAGTTTGAGCGGCAAGGTCATTGGTACTGCACGTGCGTCAAGCAGAACCAGATGTTTGGATTTTCGTGGACACCACCGGCTTGCATGTTGTCCCGGCGACAAGCTGCCCGATCGCAGTTGTTTATGTGGAGGCGGGCGCCCCTTAAAATTCGCTACCATGTGTACACAGAGAATGGACCAATTGTAGATCTCCATGCAAGAGCTCGACAAGGACTTGGCATGTTCAGACACAGCCTGAGATCCTAGATTCCCGTAGGTCATGCAAGGCACTCATATGTCAGATTATGTTTGTGGGGCCAAAACGAGGTATGTAATGAGTTGCAAAGACAGACCAACCCAGGATAGTGTTGCTTGTGGTCTAGGGCACCTGCTGGAGGGTGGGAGGTTTGAGGATGAGGCGTTCCCTGCAGCTTGAATAAACAGATAATGTCTGGCTCGAGTCTGCCAAAGTTCCTTGCCAAGTTCAACAGGGCTATGAAGAAAAGCGCCTAAATCACGCGCTCATGGTTGATGTGTAGTAAAAGGGAAGCTGTTGTCAAACACTTTCTCTCTCAACCAAGGAACTCATGGTGCGGCGCTGTGGAGCTTCCATTTCCAGCCAGCCGGGACTTTCGGCATGCGTGCCTGGCGAGAGAATTGTAGCCGTCTTGGTTCGTCGCAGGTGTCCCAAGGAAACATCCCCGGCAAAGGAAGAGACGTTGCCTTTTGGTTCAGAGCGTGCCAGAATTGAGCGATAGTTTACGTTTGGCTGAGCTTGCCTTGTGGCTGCAGTTTCTTCCGCATGTGCCAGGGGTCGCGATGGGAGCTCTCAGTGCTTTGCATCATGCTCGCCAGCGCAGCTTGGCATCGGATCAGATGCTGGCGGCTTTGGTGACGATTTCCAGACTGCAGGCTCCGAAGGAGATCGCTAAGCGAACTCACAGGAGACGAAGGCGCCTTAAGAGTCATCAAGTCATCCACCCCAAAGGTGCTGGAACTTGCGCATGTTCTTGCAAATTGAGGGCCCCATGCGCTGGCAGGCGCCGCAACTCCCAGCAAGCGCAGAATGTACCATCAAGACGGACGCTTATTGCGCCCCATGGCAAGCAACAAGCTGATTTTGACCTGCTAAACTCAATTTTGTGTCTGCTTGAGAAAGGGGAGCTGAGGATGGGGTGCTAAAGCTGGACTTCTGCAGCTCGTGGTGCATCTTGTATGGAGAGTTTTTGCACGCTGCATTGCGTCAGCATCGGTTGCTTGTGAGCTTGCATGTTGATGTTCTCCGGTTTTGGGGTCCTTTTTGCGCAGCATGCTGCATGCACAATTTGAGAATGTTGCGAGCAACAATTTTACGCAATGTGGTTGAGGTGGTTCTCCATACGATCACCAAGTGTATTGTAGACGTGTGGACAAAAGCGTGGCAGGAATTGCTACCGACGAGCGAAAGGTGTTTGGTTGTGGCTTCTGTGGCAAATATATATATATATATATTGTTGTGACCACGGGGGATATCTGGTTTTCTCAATCCGCAATGCGAGCTTGTTGTGGTGTCCAGCTAAGAAGGGAAGCCGGCAGTTGCCCGACTCCGAGACGCAACACGAAGTTGTTCGACGGTTTCCTGTGTCCAAACAAGGAGTGTCTCAAAGTGGACCCTCATTTGGTTGGCGTTTTCAGGGACCTTTGCCTTAGGCATACGGCAGACCTGGGGCGCACAGTGCCCCAATCGCAGCTTGTGGCGCTGGCGTGCCCGGATGCCATGGATGCCCGGATGCCCAACCTAGAAAGGTGGCGGGAATCAAGAGGTCCCAAAACACCTTTTAATAAGGAAAGGAGCCCCGCATGAACTGTTCTTGCTTTCAATGCTCATGTGATGGCACTCACTTGACAGCAACTTGCAAGCTGCATGGAACTTGCACGATGCGCGCAGGCAGCTTTCGTTGTTCATTGCGCGCTCTGCGAGAGTTTACAGCTCCCGACGACCTGCATCTGACCTGAAGGCAAAACAAGGCTGCGACTTGATTGGCGACCCCCCAAGCGAAACAAAATGCTATGATGTGTGTACAATTCCTCTATAAATCGGTCTGCCCGTGTCCACAGCTTCGGACTGCACCGCGGTTTTCCCTGCGCAGTAAACCCAGCCCGGAAGTCCCCTAATTTTTGATTGTTTTGATGGACTTATAAAACTTATAACTTAGCTGGATAGTTGGGTGGCAAACGGGTGTCACGAAAACTGGGGGGTTTACATTGCTGGTGGAAGCCAGTACCGTCCCAGCGGCCTTCGGCCAACACAAGCCCTCAAAGTTTCGCGAGTTTTGGCCTGCCCCAAAGTTTCGTGAGCATTTGAGCATATTTGAGCTCGTCCAGAGACGAGAGTCGAGAGTCACGCGTCGCGTTGAGAGTGGCGAGTCAGTCATGAGTCGAGAGGTGACAAACGAAAAACAAGAGTCAAGTTGAGTTGCAGTTGCGCGCGAGAAAAGCGCGCAGGTTTGTTGAGGTTGGAAATTTTGTAGTTGAGTGAGGCCACTGAGGAGGCAAGGGGCAAAAATCAAGAATCGAGAGGTGAAAGCTGCAAATATGGGGTTGCGAGAGTCGAATTGAGTGTCAGCAAATAAAGAGAGAAACGGAAAAAAATGCAGGATAAAATCAAAGAATGAGAGGAAAAAAAAGAGAGAAGAACAAAGAGAAAGAGGGCTAGAGAAAAGCAGAGAGAAAAATAACAAAAAAAGGGTTTGATTTGTTTGGTTCTTTTTGTTTTTATGTTTTTCGATTTTTCTTTCTTCTGCGTTTTGTGTGTGTGTGTTTTTTGCATTGTTGTGTCTCTGTGTTTTTTGTCTTTGCGTTTTTGTTTCTCTCTTTGTGTTTGTTTTTGTTGTGTTGCTAAATGTTTCTTCTATTTTTTTTGATTGTTTGATTTTGGTTTCTGTTGTTTTCGTTTGTTTGTGTTGTGTTGGTTTTAGTATGTATTTGGTGTTATTATTGTTGTGTAATATTTGATTGTTTTATGTTGTTGTTTTTCGTTTATTAATTTTTGTTGGTTGGTGTTTATGTTTTTATATGTTTGTGTTTTTGGGGTTTTTGTAGAGTTTTGAAGTAGTTTGGTTTTTAGTGATATTTATGTTGGTTGGATGAGGATATAGAATTTGTTTTTTTTAAAATCTTAAAATTATTTAAATATATTGGACATTGTTGGAATAGTTGATTTTGAATGGTTATTATATTATGTTGATGTTTAATAGAAATTAAAATAATAATAATTGATAAATTAAACCTAATTATTTTATAATTAAAATAATTTAATAAAAGATAAATATGTTTTTGGAATTGTGTTATTTATACATATTTGTTTGTATTTTTTATTTTTTTGGATTTAAATACAAAAAATTGTTTTTTTTATGATTTTGTAATGGTTAAATCTTAATGGTTGATTGAATTTAAAAAAATATAAAAATAATAAATTTTAATATATATATATTATATGTATTATATAGGATATTGAATATTGATATATATATATTTTGAATTTAATACAAATATTTAATTAAATTTGGCTTTTAACAATTAATATTTTTTAGATTATATTATGGAAGATATATTTGTAATATATTATTTTAATTGTATTTGAAATATATATATAATAAATTTATAATATTATATAAATATTTTATTTTTATTTATTTGTTTCTTTCTTTTTTAAAAATATATTATTTATAAATTGTATTTCTAAGATTTAAGATTTATATTGAATTATTTATGGTTTAAAATTTTAAATTTAAAAATTTTATATAAAGAAATATAATTAATTATTTGAATAAATATAGAATGAAAGAAAACAAACTATAAAATTATTCACGAACATGATAGATAGATAAAAGGTCCGGGTCCCGAATAGGAATTGAGATTATGATTTGTCATTTGAGGTTTTGCTTATTTTGATTACCTTGAAAATTAATATAATTTATAAAATCCAATATATAATTCTTATTTTCATAGATATTGTGCCACAATATTTTCCCAATTGTAGCTAGATTGATGTTGTTTCTTTCCGGGTTCGACGGAATAGGCTATAAAAATATTTATAAAATTCCTTTTGAAATTCTAGATATTTTTTTCTATAATTTTGTATATCTATGTATTTGTCATGTTCCGTCTATTCAAATCTATTTTTACCTTTTCATATATCTATTAAAAAATCCTAAAGATTGTTTAATTTATATTGATATTTAATATATATATGTTTTTTTTTTGGTTTTTTTTTTTTTTTTTTTTTTTTTTTTTTTTTTTTTTTTTTTTTTTTTCAAAAATAATTTATTAAAATAACAAAAAAAATGATAAAATTTGGAATATATGATTTATATTAATCCTCAATTAGAATAGATATTCAATTATGGTGTCTTATTCTCCAATTCTATTATAATTCTAATTCGATTTTGAATTAAATCTAAAATGTCATTAATATATTATAAATATAGTATATAAAATATATTTAACATATGTCCTAATTAAATTCTATTCATAGATAAAATAAAATATATAATCTTTAATTGAAAAGGGAAATTTAATGGCAGCACAAACCCCACAATTTACAAAAGACCTATTTCTTCCCTATAAATGCCCTGCCGCACGATAAAGGAAGATTCGTTGGATACCTTGTTTCTGTCTATTTGTTACTCTCAATTCTTTCTTCGATACCTTCTTATATATGATTGTTTCATTTACAATTGTTTCATTTAGTATGATTTCTGTAGGGTTATTATTATTTATGGCAAGAATTTCTATCTTTTAAATCGAAATTCTTGGTGCGGGTTTATGCAATTTTCATATCAAAAAAAAAATTATGGATATGCGACATTTCGGTTCTCGATATATATAAGTTAAATTCTAGTATATTATAAATTAAATTAAATTTAAGGATTTGAAAAAAAAAAAAAAAAAAAAAAACTATTTAAAACCAAAATACCTTCGAAGAAAAACTACAAAAATTAAAAAACAATAAAGAATCCTAAATATTTCCCTAAAAATTGTAATTTGAACGAATCCTTATTTTATCATAATTTATAATTTATATCAAAAAAATATATCATTCAAAATATATAATTCTAAAATCCTATCCAAAAATATAATTTAAAAATATATATATAATATATCAAAATCTTGGATATAAATTCCAAAAAAGAAAAAAAAGAAAAAAACATTCAAAAATAATTCTTAAATATTAAAAATATGTACTATATGTATTATATATATTATATATATAATATATAATATATATATATAATATATATATAATATATATATAATATATATATTATATATATTATATATATTATATATATTATATATATTATATATATTATATATCTTATATATATTATATATCTTATATATATTATATATATTATATATATTATATATATTATACATATTATACATATTATACATATTATATATATTATATATATTATATATATTATATATATTATATATATTATATATATTATATATATTATATATATTATATATATTATATATATTATATATATTATATATATTATATATATTATATATTATATATATTATAAATATATGATTATATTTATACAAAATTATTTTATATAAAAATAATACTAAAAAATTAATTAGCTAAATATATATATATATATATTTTAGAGAGAATCCGTTATTTCCAATAACGGCCCATAGCAACGCCAAGCAACAAGACCAAACAGCAAGGCAAGCAGAGGCAGGCAAACGCAAGAAGAGGCAAACAGACGCAGGCAAAGGCATGAAAAAACAAACAGAAGCAAATAGAGACAGGCAAAATAGGCAGAGGCAAGCAGAGGCAAATAGAGTCAAACAAAGACAAACAAAGGCAAGCAGAGGCAAGCAGAAAACAAGCAGAGACAGGCAGAGGCAGATAGAGGTAGGCAGAGGCAAGCAAAGGTAATCAGAAATACATAAAGGTTAGTAGAAATAGATAGAAATAGGTAGAGATAAGCGATAAATAAAGATAAATAAAGATAAGTAGATAGAAATATGCAGAAATAAGAGCAAATAAATAAAGGCGAGCAACCAAATAAATAAAGACATATAGATAAGCAAAAGCAGACAAAAAACAAAATGATTCAAGCAGAACCAAATATATAAACACAACAAAAAAATAAAAATAAAAATAAAATAAACAAAACAACCAAATAAATAAAAATATATAAAGAAACAAATAAAAACAAATATAAACAATAAAATGTAAACAAATTCATTCGAGAATTATTTTTGATTATGTTATTATTCATATATCATTCCTAAAAATATCCATCACAAAAAATAGTTCTTTCCAAATTTCCAATATAATTGTAATCATCAAAATATCACCCATCCTTAATATTTTATATTTTTATTTAAAATTATATATTTTCAAGTATAAAAAACATACCAAAAACAAACAAAAACAGAGAGCAAACAAAGACAAATAAAGACATTCAAAAACAAACAAACAAACAATTAGACAAAAACAAACAAACACACAAACAAAAACACCCAAACAAAAAAAACACACAAACAAACAGACAAACAAACAAACAAACATGAGCAAACAAACAAGCAAACAGAAACACACAAACAAGCAAACAAACAAACAAAAAAGCAGACAAAACAAAGAGACAGCGAGACAAAAAGATAAAGAAATACAGAGATAGAAAGACAGAGAGAGAAAAAAAATTGAGAGAGAGAGAGAGAACGAGAAAGAGAGAGAGAGAGAGAGAACACAAAAAACAGATATACAAAGACAC